TAAGCTAAGATAAAGAGAAAAGACAAATTACTAAAATCAGAAATGAAAGAGGGGTCATCACTACAGATGCCATAAATAATAAATTTGAACGGCTCTGTCCCTACAAACTCGATAATCTATGTGAAATGAAATTCCTGAAGGACACAATCTGCTATAATCCACACACAAAGAAACAATCTGAAAGGACCTATATTTGTAGAAGAAACTGAATCAATACCCAGGCATGGTGGCATTTGCCTGTAATCCCAGTGGCTCAGGAGGCTGAGGCAGGAGTCCAAAGCCAACCTCAGCAACTTAGTGAGGCCCTATCTCTAAATAAAATACAAAAAAGGGCTAGGTCTGTGGGTCAGTGGTTAAGTACCCCTAAGTTCAATTTCTGGTACCAAAAGAAAAAAAAATTGAATCAATAATCAATAACTTTTCATAACAGAAAGTACTAGGCCCAGATGGGTTCACTGATGAATGCTACCAAATATTTAAGAAAGAAATACCAGTTCTCAGGGTTGGGGATGTGGCTCAAGCAGTAGCGCGCTCGCCTGGCATGCGCTGGGCACTGGGTTAGATCCTCAGCACCACATAAAAATAAAATAAAGATGTTGTGTCCACTGAAAACTAAAAAATAAATAAATAAATATTAAAAAATTCTCTCTCTCTCTTTCTTGAAAAAAAAGAAAAGAAAAGAAATACCAATTCTCTACAGTTGCTTCCAAAAAAAAGAAGCAGCAAAATTGCTTCTTAACCCATTCTATGATGACAGTCTTACCAAACCAGATTGAAAACACTATAAGAAAGAGAAACTATAGACCCATATTTCTCATAGATGCAAAAATTATTAATAAATAATAGCAAATCAAATCCAACAATGAGTAAAAAAAAAATATATATATATATATTTTCAAGTGGAATTTATTCCAGGTATGCAAATCTAGTCAACATCAAAAAATCAGTTAATATAATCCATTACATCCACAGGCTAAAGAAGAAAAATCATATATCATACCAATAGGTACAGAAAAAATAGACCTATCATCCTTAAAGACTCCATACCAAGTCCCTCAAATGCCTCTCTCAGTTCACAAGGACCTAGCCGGGCCCAGGAAACCATGAGAGCAACCAGAGCCAGAATGCCTCTCTAGAAGGACACTGACTCCCTCACTATGCTGGGACCTAGGGCAAGTGAATGTTGTCTGTAGAAAGCAGCTTTAATTGCGTATATGCCATAACAGCTGCTCCTTGGGATGCCGGTCATGTAAGGAACAAAGCAAAGGAAACAAATTAATGATGTCACTGCTTCTGTGGCCTGGCAGATGAAACCCCCTAATAATCAAAAACAAAACAAAACCTCCTCAAACTAATAAGCATTTGTGGCAGATCACAGGAAACTAGGCTAATAGATGAAAGTCAATTGCTTTCCTATATACCAGCAACAAAAAATAGGAATTTGAAATTTTAAAAATGTGTGCAGTGGAGGCAGGAAGTATTGGGAATTTTGAGAGCAAAAAAGTAGCAGGAGGGCTGGGATTGTGGCTTAGTGGTACAGTGCTCGTCTTGCATGTGTGAGGCACTGAATTCGATCCTTGGCACTGCATAAAAATAAATAAAATAAAGGTATTGTGTCCATCTACAACTAAACAAATATTTAAAAAGGAGAAGCAGCAGAAGAGTAGATTAAAGAGGTAAACTGAGGCTACATTTTTCTAGAAAAATGTTTTATAGAAAATTTGCAAATTAACTCATGCAACACTAAATAGGATGGATTGGAGAGAAGGCAAGGGGAGCTGGCGTTACCAGAGGCAGGCATACTGGTTCAGAGGCAGTGAACATCATTTGCCAAAGAGATCACAAGGACAGCATTTATGGCAATGGAGACAAAGAGGAGAGGACAGATTCATCCCCTTAATAAATGATTTGAACAGGTACATAAGTGCCTGTCATGTTTCTAGACACTGAGGACACAGTAGCAAATTAGATCACCCTTTGGGGGTTTCAAATGGAGTTTAAGGAACAGAAGTTGGAGTCTGATTGGATGGGGGGACATGGCAGAAGGATATGATGAGACAGTGGAGAGTTCATTGATATCTGGACTTTTCACCTTGAACAATTGAGTAAGTGATATTGTTGGACCTGTTGGGTAAAGACCTAAGGGACTCCCAGATGGACTTGTTTAGTAGGCAGTAGAAGATCTTGCTCTGGGCACAGATTCATATATCTTCTCTGGAGCTAATAAGTCAAATGTGAAATAGTTGGGTTTTTAAAAGTTTCAAAATGAAGCTCAAATAAATTTAAAAACCATGCTCTTGACATATTTTCCTTTCAAAATTTACATAATATTTTTTCAATAGCCCGGATTTTTTTTTTCTCATATAGCCCACCCTTTCATTATCTATAGCTTCAAGTAGAAGGTGGATACTTCTGCCTCAAGATGTAAACATGAGGGAAAATTAATGGCATCTCCATAATATTTTCTGTACACACTACTGCTGGATAGAAACACAAAATCACAAAAGAAAGAAAGATACCATCTTAGATTCTTACAACCTATTTTTCTACAGTTCATGAATCTGATGATATGGTGACAGTGTATGTAAGGAGATTTTTATTTTCAGCAAAGGAGGCATGGGGAAAGATAGAATGGAACTGGCAAAATTCAAAGATGGAAAAAAGAAATGAAGAGGAAAGCCATTGTGCCTCATCCAAAGATAGTGGGTACCTGTAACAATTTCAATGGTGTCAATGTATAAACATGATTGGTTGGTTTCCAGATACTCCACTTCTATTTGAAGTAAAAAATGATGTGGGCCTTTGTGTACTTGAATAGTTGGTATCTGTGTTATGTGTATCATAAGTACATGGATTATTCACAAATTTGTGAACAAAGACAAGAAAAATCTCATAAATTTGTTGGATTTCAAAAGAGAAATCTGCTCGGCATATGTGAAATGAGAATGTGTAATATCCCTGGACCTACTATGGTCCAAGATAATATCAGATTTGATATGAGAAACTGTATTATTCTCAAATGGCAAGAACACCAGTGATGTCAAAACAAACTGTGTCATGGGAAACCAACAACACATTGTCAAAAAGTACTTAACCCTTTGAAGTGTTTTGCTCATTCTACAAAAATTAATTGTTGAACAGATCATGAAAGTTACTTCTTTGTATATTGTGTAGTATATGAAAGGATATATCTGCCCAATGTCCTATACATAAAATGGCATATATACATACATATATGTGTGTTTGTATATGTGTGTGGGTGGGGTGGATATATATATATATATACACACACATGATA